TCAGTCTGCTTTGCAGTCTAGTCTCTCATAAAATATCATACATTAAATGTATTTAGCGAACGAGCACTCCACAGTGCATAAAAGAGATACATTTTATTCCCTCATTCGGGATCACTGGTTTTATCACAAAGGGCCTTCGGCCCAATAAAAGTACAACTAAATCGTCCTCCCTTGTTCAGAGCACAATCCCGGGCGAGGACGGAGGGGACTGCGGCTCTAGCTTGAGGAGGTCGGCGCGCGGACTTCCCTGGCCGTGCCCCGCCGTGGGAGGCGGGCTAGGGGCCGGCCTGGGCCCCCCCGGGCCCCCCGAGCTGCTGAGCGTGGAGGACATGGAGAGGGCGGGGTTGGCAACGGCTATGATGTCCGAGCCCTTAGACGCTATCACCTATACGGAGCACACACATCGTCAAGCCTACAGTTTTAAAATTGTACCACATCATTTTGCAGTCGCTAGTATTATACCAGGTGGCTGATTCACGCTGCGCACTTCCGTAGTTATACTGCACCGCACGCACTCTAAATGTCCAAGGACAATTTTTGTAACTAGCACCTGACTTCTGTGTGCATAACTAGCTCAGATACAATATTGTAACTACCAACACACATTTAGTGACTAGCAAGTCACAGTATTGTATCTGAATTCAGTTATGCACGCAGAAGTCCGGTGCTAGTTACAAAAATTGTCCTTGTCATTTAGAGTGCGCGTGCAGCCGTGCATGCGGTACAGTATAACTACGAAAGTGCGCGGCGTGAATCAGCCATCTGGTACGTTGCCGAGCGTACCTGGATTTTGCTTTCACTATAGATCCCATTGGTCAAAGATGATATACCGTTGCCCACCGGAGCGGAATCCAAAGAGCAGTCCTGGAATGTAATGATAAAACATGGTCGATTAGTTCATTTACATTGTGCTTGCGATCGGGCTCCTCCCCCTCCTCGCATCAACTTTACCTGTTTGGAGGGACTTCTACCAGATCTGTCCAAAGTCTCCGAGTCCCGCGAATCTCCAACTTCCTGAAACTGTTAAAACGCGCGAGCTGCGTAAACACGAAAACTGCCACAGCGCGCACACTCTCAACTTGCTGAAAGCTGTACCTGTGAGGGTGAGCTGGCGTTGCTGAACGACAGCTGGGAGTCGTCGTCAGTGTCTCCCCGCTCGGAGTCCATCGTTAGGGAGGACGAGCGCACCCGCACCGCCCGCCTCCACGACCTGCGGGAGCAAGGCAGGGAGCAAGGCATTAGGCTACTCTTACCCTTCCTCCTGCTGCCTGCCGGCGGCCCTCAACCGACTGATTCCGAAGAGCGCTACCTTCCGTATAGCTCCGTCCTTGTCGCACTCATAGGGCAGCCCCCCCCCCCCTTGAGCGCTCTTTGGAATCAGTCTGCAGCCTGCATGCAGGCGGTCCGTGCCTCCTGCGGTTACCTGGGCTGCAGGGTCTGCCGGATGAGCTCGGCCTGCTCGGCCTGCAGGGCGAGCTGGCGCGCCTGCAGCGCGTCCCGCACCGCCTGCAGCTGCTGCAGGGCCACCACGTCGTGCAGCCCCGTGGCCGCCATCAGGTCCTCGTGGCGCTCGGAGAGCGCGCGCAGCTCCTCCGACAGGGCCTCCAGCCGCTCCTGCAACACAGCCGGCGTTCAGCTCTGCACTCTTCCCTTGTTTCTTATCTCGAAGAAGGAAAGCGTTGATCAAAACCAGCCCACGGGAGGGTTTACTCAAGGCTGCAGTGTGTAAGCTGTAAAAGGATCGATACGTTACGTACCGTGCATTAAGTATTGGCAGACACGCAAAGTAAAAACTTTATGGGCTCAGAAAAATGGAATTTTGAAAATACTCGTGCATTATTCTACAAAATGCGTCTAGGCAGCAAGAAATAGCCCATACATCTGGTGTTAGTTGTAAGAAAGCACAAACCGTTAACATCTTTGGAAAACTCTACAGTCTACAGTACCTGGTGACACAATCTCAGGACAGCTCAGTCCATCGGGTTATTCGAAGCAGCGTTTACTACAATTCACACTGTAATGAACAAATTATAAAAGCAAAAAGAAAGTAAAACCATAAAAGAAATGTTAAATGTCAAGGGACGAAAAATGTGAGAGCTGGTTAGTCACGCGATAAACTGAACCACAAAAAGCAGTAAAAGCATTAGACACATAACTCTCCAAGGGAATACAATACCGAAACAAATGAAAGAAAAGTGAGCCACCGCCCAGTAGAGACAAGGTTAAAAAGGCAAATGTTCAATATTTTTGTAATATAAATAATACTTATGGCTTTATAATATCACATGGCATAGATTGCAATCTATGACTAGAAAATAAAAGGACCGCATAATACGAAATTGGTAATTGGTGCGAACGTGTATGAAAGCGAGTGCGCGGAGACCTATGGGCAGAGAGAGATAGAGGGGTGGCTCCCTCCAGGCCAAGCAGGCCGACACAGGCCAAGCGGTCTTGTCGGGCTAAATGAGGACCTGTCTGCGTTGGTGGTGCTCGGCGCGGTGCTCGCCCTTCTCCCGGTCGCCCTCGCTCGAGTCGGGGGAGGGGGAGCCGCTCGGCTCCAGCCTCGGCCTCTTGTGGCCCGCCGTCAGGATGTCGTCGCTGCTGGGGCACCGCGGCCGGTAGTAGGAGAGGCTGCAGACACGGAGGAGAAGGGAGATTAGGCTTGGTTGCAGCCCGCGGCCACCGAGTCACTCCAACGACGTACGCCGTACGCCTCGGTAGCAGCGGGCGGGCGTCGCGACGCCTCGGACGGCGCGCGCTCTGAGCGTGGCGAGGGGTATCGCCGGCTAAGGCTGAACACTCACTTGGTGTGGCCCTTGGAGTACAGGTAGCCCGAGTCCCGCACCACCTGCCTGGCCAGCGGGAACAGCTCGTCCCTGCGGGTGAGCAGCGCGGGTACGAAGCGGCAGATCTGCGCCGCTGCCTCGTTCACCGACACCTGCAATGAGGAACATGATAGGGCCGTTAGTTACAGCGCGGTCGGTCAGGGTTCCAGGGCTGCGCGCCGGACCCGTTAGAGAAAGGGCGTGCACGGAGAGGCCCGGGGAAAAAGCTCCCCTGTGGTCCCAGCTTTGCCCCGGCTGCAGCGAAACTGATCGCAGTGTCCCTCGGCCAGCCTCCGCCAGCCTACGGCAGCCGGCCCAGGAGGCGCAGGAGGCGCTGCCGAGCTGTCAGTAGTTTACCTAACTATAAATTATTGAACGCCAGTCGTAAAGCCGGAGGGATAATTGGTAGCAGCCTCACCACGCCGGCGGGACACTGTTTGCAATTAGGCGAGTCAATTTCGCATTTTGCCCTTTTCTTTTAGCGATTTTCGCTCATCCTTTCCCTGCCCTTCCCCGTTGGATTACCTCAGGCGGCGGGCCGCCGATGATAAAGTGTCGGAGCCGCGCGCGCGCCAAGCGGAGCCAGGCCGCCGCCGAGGGCGCGGAAAAAGCGCGGGAAGAAGCGGTCCCAGCACTCGTTAATTGGGAGACAAAATCGAACGCGATTGACAGGGTGGAAGGAGAAGAAGACGAAACGAAACGAGTGAACGACGATTGCGGACATTGAGGTAAGAAACAGAGGATTATTTATATTCACCAATGGCCATCACATCTAACATGTTTCCTCAGTGAGAAATGCTATATCGATAAGTGGTCGATAGTCATCGATCGAGGCAAACTCGACTCGATATAAATTCGATTTAGTCCAGCAAATTGACGTATTTTTCAAATTCGACGTCGAATTGACATTGATTTAAAGCTGCATTTCTCGCTGGGTCAGTGGCAATACAACTCAAACTCAAAACTAAAACTTTGTGTAAGCGGAGCGCGGCGACAAGGCACGACCGGACTTCCCCGGGGCGCCAGCGCCTGACCGTCGATGTCGGAAATTTCCCACCCTTTTCCGGCATAACCCTCCGTTTCTTATCCCTCAATGTCCGCAATCGACCAGAACCAGGCCTGGGCACGCAAGTATGTCAACAGTCGACGGGACTCCGCCGAAACGCACAGACGACGCGCGCTGGACGCATCGTGACCCGTGTCTGCAGCGTGTCCGCAGCGTGTCCGCAACAGATGCCTCGGCTGGTCCCTTTTACGACGCGAGCGGATAATTACGGATAGAAGGCGTGTGCGAGACGGCGGGCGCAGTCCAGCCCACCTCTGGTCTTTTTGCCAAAGCATGTTTAGAAGGAAAACTTCTTGTCGCCGACGAGGATCGGCCCAGTAGAGTTATAGGAGTGACCGCGGCATGGCCATGAACGCCCGGGCGAGGGGCCCCTCCCTTTTGCACGGCATTTATTGTAATTAAAATCCTTCCCTTATGTCGGCTAACCTCGGGCTGCCGGGGCAGAGTGGGGACGACAGACACCATCATACACTTGGAAGAGGCGTTAAATCGAGTACGTACTACACAAATAAAAACTGCTGTAATTTTTCGAGCCGACTGAACTCTGCAACGTCTTTTGATTTCTGAAAGTGGGCGATCCCCTCTCCGACAAGAACCGCATATTACCACGGTTCAGCCGCGCAACACGCCTATTGAGGACGCGACGCACTGACAAGCGGCTTATCAATTTAGTGCGATCGTCATCGGGGGTAGGTATGGTGATGTCACCGCGCCCCGCCGCGCCCCGCCGAGGCCGTGTGGGTTTGCCAGGTGGCTTTATGGCTGTTTTGATATCTCTGTAGGAGGCCTGCCCGACCCAGGCCTTTACGATCCATTAATAAGACGATTATTGTGTGAGAGGCGAGTCCGTAAGTCTGTCCTCCCGGGGGTTGTCTTCGTGCCCGAGCAGAGGGGGCATGATTGCACCAAACGGCCACCCGGATTACTTTTCACGACCAAACGCGCTGCTTTACCTCGTGAAGGGTGAGAGGCTTCTCCGGTTTCCGCTTGCAGTCGAAGCGTCCGTAGATGGCGGCGTACTTCCGAATTTCGTCCATCCTCCGGGGGTCCTCGTCCGACATGTTGATGACGAGCTGCAACACCACACACAGCGCAACGTGAGAGGTGGCGGTGGAGGGGGAGGGGGAGGTTGAGGCAGGGGTGAAAACGGAAGGGGTGCGTGCAGAGTGCGGAGCTGTGATTAAAACAAGGAGGGGAGGAGAGGGGGGGGGGTGGACTTTTCCTTCTGAGAGAGGCAGTCTTAAGGGGACTGTCTAAAAATCAAACTGAGAATAAGTATGGGGGGAGTGCGTTGAACCGCGGTCGCGGTTGGGTTCACTACTGCCGCGTTTATGACTGAGAGCAGGGCGGTGAGATCAGGTCACCTACCTCCAGGTCCTTGCACATCTTCTTCTTGGTGTTGTGCGGCCGGGGCTGGTACGACGGCAGAGTCCCCGCCAGGTTCCTGGCCGCCTCGGCCAGCCTCTGGATCTGCGACTCGATGAGCACGGGGGTGAGCTGCAGGCTGGGCGACAGCGGGCGGGGCGTCGTGGACGGCGCCGGCGACAGCGGCCTCCCGGGCCCCGCGTGGTGCGGGGGCGAGGACGGCGACTGGTGGTTGTGGTGGTAGCCGTGGTGCGGGGCGTGGTGATGGTGGTGGTGGTTATGGTTGAGGTTGTTGTTGGCGGTGGTGGTCGTCGTCGTGGTGGAGGCGGTCGAGAAGTCCACCGGGACGCTGCCAACCGCGGTCTGGTAAATGAGACATTCTTATTGAACAAGCGCTTCCTAGTCGCCGTCCTCCCGGCCGGCCGTCTCGCCCTCGGATTCCACGTGAGGTTTCTTTGCCCGCTACACTGCCCCGCCCTTGCCCTTCATCATATTCCTGCCGATGGGCCGGCGAGAGGCAAGGCGGTTGGATTGGCTGGACACACACACTCTTTGATTTACGCTTGGCCGACCAATCACATCCCACCACGTCAATCAAGATCGAAGAGGGCAAAGACAGCGAAAGCGACACACGTATCGAGACACAAGGAGGGAGAGAGAGAGAGAGAGAGAGAGGCAGGGATATACATGCCTGGCATATTACCCCGGCTTGCCAGTTTGCTTTTTGTCGCAGCCCAGTTGTTGATTATCGGCCCGGCTGGACGCGGCTGGACGCGGCGCGACGCTCCGCAGCCTCCAGCCGGACTCCTGATTTGGACTCAACGACGCCAGGACGCCAGGCCATCGGCGGCCGGGCCGCAGGCAGGGCCAGGCCCCGGCAGGCTCAGCCCGGGTAATTAATACACAAGCGTTGTGCTGCAGCCGTACGTCCGCGACTCGCCCGCTCCGCTCAGCCGGCGGGGGCAGTAGGGGGTACGGGAAGGGGGGAGGGGGCTTATAAGCAGGCGGCAAGGAATCGATTCGTCAACTGTCATACACTTCTTTTCAAGAAGCAGAGCGCCAGGCTCTTGACATTCGCTCGGCCCCACGAAGCGTCGGATTTCTCATTTCTCGAGGTGGGGAGACGAAGAGAATTTGTTGGCTATACCAGCACTGGGGATAGGGGCTGCGCAGTAATTGCGCGATAATGGAGAGGTGAGGAAGCTTCCCTTTCGGACGCCCCGGAGCTGAATAAGGCACCTGTGCCAGAGTTTCGTCAACGACAAACGACCCTTTGAGAGGTTGACAGAGCTAAGCGGCAGACGCACGCAATCGACCATATGAGCTCCGGGGACAGTCACCCCAAAAACCAACGTCGAACCTACGTACGTTGTTGCTATTTCAAGAACTCTCTCAAACAATCTACAATACTCCTCTCTCCCATTTTTTCTTTCTTTTTTCATGGTTATCTAAACCGCCGGGACGCAGGCAGGCAGCCCCGCCGGGTGATCGATACCTCGTACGTACCTCCGAGGTACGTACCCCGATACCTCGCCATTCGTGTGTCGCATAAGCGTTTTTGCGTTTACAGCCGAGAACCTGTTCCCTTCTGTAGAGAGCATTTCTTCTTCGGCCCAAGCGCTGCTCCAGACCGGATTAAATGAGCGCTCCCTCGGCTCCCGCCGGATTCAGCGAAAATGAGGCCCGGCCGCTGTTGTTGGACTCACCTGCATGGGGTCAGCCGAGGCGGGCGGCGGCGAGCTCACCGTGGAGCTCATGGTGACGGGCGACGTGGTGGATGACCTGTTGAGGTGCTCCGCGGGGGTGGTGCACCTGAGGGACGGCGCCGGCGAGGAGGAGGGGGCAGGACTAGAATGGTTGTGAGGGGGGCTCCTCCTGGCGGGCACGACTATGGGCGTCCCTAGCGGCGTCCCCAGGGGCGTTCCGAGGGGCGTTCCGAGGGGCGTTCCCAGGGGCGTTCCGACAGGGGTGGCCACTCCCACGGGTGCTATGCTGGGCCTCGGAGCCGTGACCGGAAATGCAGGGGTGGGTCCAAGCGGGACCTGGAACTGGGCTGCAACATGAAACAAGAACAAACGTCGTCAACAACAACAACAACAACAACAACAACAACAACAACAACAACGAAAAATCCTTTCTGTCCTCACACACAACGATCAGACGCTCCACCGTAGGACGGAGACAGCCGCGGGGCAAAAAAAATCCTCGACCATAGACATCGGCGGCCGGTATCAAACACACTCATCTCCACCTCCCTTTTTCTTTTCCTTTCAATTTTTTCATAGTTATTTTCCTTTCCACCAAGGAACCCTTTGGTGTTCAATTCTAAGAAAGCAACGGGCAGAGTGCTTGCCTCCCAGCAGCCAGAGGACGCGCGGCGCCCGCCGTTAGGATTTTAATATTTTTTTTATTACCTCCGTGCTCTGTCAATCAAAGCCTGTTTTTTTTACAAACCTCATGTATTTCTGTCTTAGGTGCTGACCGACTCCGAGGTCATTACCGCTATGGGTCGGGTAGTAGTGGCCTGATTCGAATAGAATGATTTACAGTAAGTGGACATACATTAATTACATAAGCGGCCTTTTTTCTCCAACAGCGAAATTTGCGTTTACAAAACGTCTCCTCGAAAAAACATCAAAAACAAAAATGAAAAAAATAGCTATAAAAAGAAGTTTACGGGCTTGGTAGCCTTGATTGTTTTTTTTTTTATTGTTTTTGCCTAATGAAAACCTAGGGCGGTGACGCACGATATTCTGACGTCAAATGAACCGGTCACCAAGAGCAGTGATCGCCTCCCGTAGCCACGCGCCACCGCCCCGCTCCGCCCCGGACCGCTTGCTGGACGGACAAGCGGATCGACCTGAGAATGGGCCGAATGGGCTAGCCTACTCGCTTGAATTTTCCCGCCAGTCAAGGCACGCTAACGGCGACAGTTGACAGTCGTTGGTTGCCGGCGCTTTTTTTCGGGCCGTTCGTTTCTTCGCCTCCGCCATGTCCTTGCAGCACGTACGTACCGACGACGGGGACCGGCGACGACGGCGAGGGGACTCGAAAGAAGTGTCGCGCCTGTCTGTGTTTTTTCCCCCTTCCGTTTCATTTTTCATTTTGGCCGCGCAACCTGCTATTCTAATCTGTTCGAGCCGCGAGCAGAGCGCTCCGCAGCGGATCCGCGACGTGCATGCAGAGTCATGCAGAAATATGAGGCGCGAATTTCACAGCCATTAATCAGTCATCCATCAAGCTACTTGCGGTATAACAGCAGTGGCGACGAACAACGTGTCGGAGGTGCACGCTTGCCGCAAAGTCCGGCCCAGTCAGTGTCGCGGAAGCGAAACAGAATGCACCATAGACAGCCAAGAACAAACCGAATGAAGTGTGCGCCAGAAACACACTGAAGAATGCGAATGAGCTCGGGGGGGTGTGTGATGATCACGAATAATCGTGTCAGTCACCTTGCTCTTGGCACCTTTTTTTAAAAAAAGTCGTCTGATGCTCCCGGAATCTACAAAAACCTTGCGCATATAGCAGAAGCAGACCATGCCATCCCTCTCTACAATCTTAGAACAATATTTTTTCGTAAACCCACACAAGAGGGAGCCGCAAAAGTGCAAACTGACACCGACAACAACAAACAGACACGCGCGGCACACACACAATGTGCAATAATAGTGATCTCTTCATTGCCGTTTGATAAGCGCATCACCGGTGCGAATGACACGCCCCATTGCACAACCCTCAGCCTCCCCTGGCTACCTGGGCGACCCAACTGGGCTGGGCGGCACCGTGAGAGCGGCGCTGCGCGTGTGTGCGCGCGTGTGTGTGGACCAGGGGATGCGCATCCGACCCGGGCACACGCCGCCCCGCCGGCCCGCCGCCAGCCCAACCTGCGATCCATACTGAGATGTGCGACCACAAAAGTCGGAACGAAATTAATAAAACTACATAAATACCCGTGCCTGCAGCAAAACAAAAACAATTTGACGTCGCGACCTGAACAACTAACCGAGTCACCTCCCGAGTTGATCGGCCTAGCTTTCCCAAGGCTAAAAGCGAGGGAGAAGGAGGTAGCGTCTAGAGGATAGAAGACTGTGCGGCCGCCGTACGCGCACCAGAACGCTGGGAAAAAAATGGTCCGAATACACACCTCTTTTTTATTCGCCCACGAATAAGAAGAAGGAGGAGTAGAAGAGAGCGGCCCAAGAAAAAGGAATCCCAGGATAGAAAGGAGATGGGGGGGAGAGAGATAGATAGAGAGGAAGAGGGAGAGGGGGGCAGGAGAAGGGGGCTGACATTTTTTCGTCCCCATTATGTTGGCGGCCTATAAACTGCTGACGTCACAGCGCGGCTAAGCTTTTTCTCGCTCTTTTTCCATAAGACACGACGCACTTTTTCCTATCGTCCTCGTCCTTCTCGCAGCCGCTCCCGGGCCTTTTCTTCGTCCTGCCCTGACTGCCGCTACCCCCTCTCGGCTGTGAATGGCGATTAGCTCTAGGCGGAGGTGTCCCGGAGGTGTCGGACATGACGCGCCGGCAGCGACAACATGCGCCACTGAATGGCCCGGGCGTTGGGCAACGTGCACGGCCAGGGCCTGCGGGTCCTGCACGGCGTGGTGCGCCCGGTGCCCGGCTCGGAGCCCGGGAGTGCCGAGGCTACAGCCGCTGCCGGCGTGACGGCTGGGCGAGGCGGGCGCGCCGCCGCCACGCCGGCCAGGCTGCTAGAAAAACGCTCAAACAACACAACTTAAATTCTTGGCTAAAAGCGACGCGGCGCACGGCGGGAAAAAAGTGCACGCGGCTGAGACGGCGAGGGACGGACGGACGGACGGACGGTCGAAGGGAGGCGGGAAAAAAATGGGCTCAGGGCAATATCTCTCCCGTGCACCCCGCTCCGCCCCGCTCCGCCCCGCTCCGCCCCGGCCCCGCTCCCGCTACGCCCCTGCCCCGGACGCTCACGGCGAGTAGAAGGGAAATGCGAGAGGGACAAAATGAAAGAAAGGAAGAAAGAACAGAAGTGCAAGAGAGTGGCGCAGGCGAAAAAAACGTACGACCGGATACGTACAGTCGTTTGCATAAGCCCCCCTCTCGCGACGGCGCATGCGCGGGGGGACACTCGCGCTTGCGTTCGATTGTGTTGCTGAGAAAAAAAAATCAGCGCGGCATTTTCAAAACCGCGCGCGCAGCTCGTGTCCCGCCCCGTCTAGCCAGAGAGTTTTGTGCCATCCGTTTGTCCCCGTTTGAATTTCCCGCGCGCCACTTCTTTAGCGGCTTCTCTGTTTAAGCCTCCCGCACGCGTCCACGCGGAGGGAGGGAGAGAGACGATCGCGCTCCGACCACTTTTTCGCAAAGCCGCCTGGCCGACCGCTCGTCTCGGACAGGGCAGGCAGCGCCTCCAACCGCCCCGCCCCGCCACGCCCCATCTTGAGTCTGGTCTCACCGCACCTTGAAATTTTGAAACGGTGGGGAAGTGAAACTCGAAGAGGCCCTTTATTTCTGCACCTTTTCTTCCGTAAGGTTAAAATGTAGACCGGGCACTCCTTCTTTCTTTTTTAAATTTTTCATTCCTGAGAGATCGACAGGACCGAGAGGAGCATTCCCCTCCCCCCTTCCCCCCAATCCCTTTCTCAACAACAAAAGTAAGCGAAACGCCACCTCCTGGGCGCGGAAGGGTTGCGGGGCGCGGGAAAGGAAAGAGTTGCGCGGCCCGCAAATGAAGTCATATCAAGTCATTCCGGCCGGACCATCCGCGGCTCGGGACGCAAGCATCCCCTTCGTTCGTGCACCCTTCTTTCGTCTCGCTGTACTCACCGGGGTTGCTGCACCACTCGTGGAGCGCCTTCTGCAGCCTCCGCACGTGCAGCGGCTTGCTCGCCATGCCCACCAGGGCCATGATCTCCAGGAACTCCTCCTCGCCCGCCTCGCACAGCTGGCGGACGTCGTCGCCGCCTGCAAGCAGGACAAGTGTGTGTCAACGGCGTCAGCTCGCGGTGTCAGCTCGGCGTCAGCTCGCCCCGCTCTACCGAGGGGATAGAAACGCAGAGTTGTCCGAGAACCCCTGCGCCAGGTGGCTGATTCACGCCGCGCACTTTCGTAGTTATACTGTACCGCATGCACGCGTGCGGGCGGGTTGCCTACTCGCACGGGGCCAGAAGGAGCCGTGGGCAGCGAGCATAAGCAAACCCGCCCGCACCCGTGCATGCGGTACAGCATAACTACGAAAGTTCGCTGCGTGAACCAGCCACCTGGTATATTCTGCGCTAATCTGCAGTTTCACTCAACCGAGAACAGCGCAAAATAGTCAGGGGGTCATCGGAGAACTCTGCGCTTCCATCTCTTCGGTGGTGTAGCTGTGAATACAGAGTAGTCCGTCAGCGCCGTTCTCACCTCTGGTTATACTGTACCGGGTGAAGGCGTGCGGGCGGGCTTGCCTATCGCCGCTCACCCAGGCGCCTTACGGCGTCGTGCAGTATGCAGCCCCTCATCACGCATGCGTCCGGTACAGTATAACCAGAGGAGAGAACGGTGCTGATGGACCACCCCGTCTATTGAAAAGTTAAATATTCGTGAATATTAAACGTAAACTCGTGAATACTGGTAAATAGAGTAACTGAATATCGAATAGGAATTTTTGCTTGAGCTGTGATTATCAGAAGTTGGGGACCCTTTTATGTACATTTGCTCCAACGAAGCAGAGCGGCCACTCTGTAGCCGATACCAGTGCCCCGGGCAGTAGAAGCGCGCAGAGTCCGAGTCCGAGGGCTGCCCTGTCGCGCCCAACACACACCCGATCCTTACCCATCTCGAGCAGCGTGTCGTAGTAGGCGAGGAGGCTGGCGCGCTGCATCACCCGGTACAGCTGGATCTCCGCCTCGTTGCTCGGCACGGACGTCATGACCACTGCAACCGCACAAAATAACCAATTTAGTCTTAAAGAAAAGGGAAGGAGTGAGTTACAGCGCCGGGGGCCGGGGCAGAGGGACGAGGGCAGGGCGGTGTCCGATGCTGGCCGCGCTCGCGTCGCGCAGACAAGGCAATGAGCGTGCGTCTTACTCGGGCGGTAAAAAGGGCCGGAGGGAGGGTACTGGACGCCACCGCTGGACTCGCAGGAGGACAAGAAGAGAACGAAACCTACAGGGCGACTTCATCTGGGCTGGTTTATGGCGTCGGGGGTCGGAGCGGGGCAGGGTGGTCGGGCGAGGCCGGGCGGGATGCCTTTCGGTCACCCGTTTGGAACTAGTTGAACAACTGTTCAATTGTGGCGGCATCATTTCGTTGCTATATAGTGCACATAAAACACACGTCTGTTTTTCAGTGTCTGTGCGCAGATTACACACGTGTATTATTTTCAGTACTGATTGAACGGGCCGGGACAAAGCAAAGACAAAGAGGGTTTCGTCATTGTTTAAAAGAAATGCCAACTCCCCTCCCCCTCCCCGCCACCACCTTAACCGGGGGATGGCTCCGTCCCACGGGTAGCAGCCGTCACCATGAAACTTGTGCCGACGGTACGACTAGAACGACTGGGTATTATTTGCGCCGTGCTCCCCGCTAAGCTCTCCCGCTACTACCCCTTCTAGTAACCCCTCTGCCGTGCCCTCGCGTCTTCCCCGACCCACCGCCCCGACGCTTTTGGTCAAGAAGCGGCCACGCTGAGGAAGGTTGAGCCCCACCCCGCCAAGCCACCCTACCCC